GCCGCGGGCGACAAAGGAGGCGGGGGCGGCAGAGGACGACGGTGCTGCACTCGCAGCGGGATCGGGAGCAGGGCGGGCAGGAGCAGCGGGCAGCAGGAGCCGCCGGGCGAGGAGGGCGGAGGAGCTGGGGGGGGAGCGCGGGGGGCCTGCTCGAGTGCACGGGGAGGGCCGTCGCGGGCGCCCGAGAGCCACTGGAGGTGGTCGCAAACGTTCGAACATGATGGGCCTGTTTTACACCACCACCACCACCACCATAAGCTGGAGGGGGGAAGGAGGAGGAGGATGAGGAGGAGGAGGAGGTGGACCCCCTCCCCCATCTACTTCTGGTGGTGTTGGTGCACAACCTCATCCGTCTGGCTTGGGGCGTGACCCAGCGGCCGTGCATCCCCAGGGACTCTGCACAGCGTAGGCCACCGCCGCAGCTGCCGCTGGCCCGTCCCCGGAGCGTCTCTACTTTTCCTGTTTACCCCATCCTTTACGAAGCGGGGCCAGGAGGTCCGTGTAGGCCCCCGGAGGCCAACATCACGTCACACATGTTAGCCAAGCAGGTCCCAGCATGCTTGCGAGCGTGCGCGACTGTTGCATCTGGGATGCGCAAATCATGCGGTGCGAGCTGTGGGGTGGAAGCTAATTATGTGAAGCAAGACCCGTGGCGGCGCAAGCTGTGGTCCAAGCGATCTGGTGCACACTGTCCGGCGCGCAGGCTAGTTGGTGCAGGCTGTGCGGCGTAAGCTGCGCGGTGAGAACTATGCCGCGAAAGCTGCTTGCGAAAGTGCCGTGGTGCAGGCAGGCTATGTGGTGTGAACTGCGTGGCGCCCTCGCGCGGCGGCACGGAGAGAAGGCCTCGGCAGAGCCCGTCGTCGCACGGGGCGCCCAGAAACGGGCCGAGCACCTCGATGCACCTTTCCCCGTGACCCATCGGTCGTTGGAAGTAGGTCTTTTTGGACTCCCAGGTTCCAATCTGCTTCATAGGTGCCTTCCCACTCCAGGAGTCGAGCGGCGGTGCCCCTCCCCCCTCCTCTCCGGGGGGCGGGCGGGAGCCCAGTCGGCTTCCGACGCTTTCCTGCATCATGTTTCTGCCTATGTCTTCCGACCGACGGGTACTCGAGCAACGAGACCAGAAGTCTTGAGTGCAGGCGCTGGTTTGGGAATTCGGATCCTCGGCCCTGATCTCCCTCGAGGAGGAGGACGAGGAGGAGGAGGAGGAGAAGGAGGAGGAGGAGAGGCAGGGAGGAGGGCGAGGAGGTTCGGAGGCCCCGCTAAGAGCGAGCAACATACTGCGTCCTCATGGATCGAGGAGGAGGAGGAGGAGCAATAGGAGGAGGAGGAGGAGGAGGAGGAAGAGGAGGAGGAGGAGGAGGAGGAGGAGGAGTGAGAAGCTGGGAGGAGACGGGCGAGCAGGAGGAGAAGGAGGACGAGGACGAGGACGAGGAGGATGAGGATGAGGGCGAGGGTGATGAGGGCCGAGGCACGTCAGGAAGCGTGGGCAGGGCGGCGGGCGAGGAGGGAGAGGAGGGAGAGCAGGAGGAGGAGGAGGAGGAGGAGGAGGAGGAGGAAGAAGGAGGAGGAGAAAGAGGAATAATGATACTCATACGAAGCATAATAAGACTACTAAGACTAATAATATTAATACTACTCAGAATACGAAGAAGACGAATACGAACAAGACGAATATTGATACTAAGACGAATGCTACTATTCATAATAGCAATAATAACAAGACGAAGCATTCCAATCATATGACTGATATTATTCATATTAAGAATACGAACAAGAATAATGAGAAGATTAAGAAGAAGAGGAGGAGGAGGAGGGAGACGAGGAAGTGGGAGGAGGAGGAGCAGGAGGAGGAGCAGGAGGAGGAGCAGGAGAAGCAGGAGGCGAAACTGGCCCCGAGAGCGCGGCAGCAGACCAGCTCCAGGTCCGACCGACGAAGAGATCAACGAGATCTTCCTGAAGCGGTACAAGATGTCGAAGGAGGATCCCAGCTGTGTTGCCTTCCCTCTCGCCGATCTGCTGTTGCTACTGAGGATGAGGAACAACAGGATCAATTCAGGTGAAGGTGAGCGTTGAGTAGGAGAATCGTGGAGGTGAGCATGGAGGAGGAGGTGGAGGAGGAGGAGGAGGAGGAGGAGGGGGAGGGGGAGGGGAGGAGGAGGGGGATGGATGGGGGGGGGGGGAGAGGGGGATGGAGTAGGAGAGAGCGGGGGGGGAATGAGGGGAAAGGCCTTGCCTTTTACCCCGCCGCAGATGGTGGCGTCCCGCGACCTCCCCCCTCGCTGGCCCCCGAGGAGTTGCAGGGCATGGCAGACAAGATGAGGATCCAGCTCAACAACCTCTGCTACCTGAAGCAGGAGCCGGGACTAGGAGGAGGAAGAGGAATTGGAGGAGGAGGACGAAGCAGTGGAGGACAAGTCGGAGGAAATGTGAAGGGGGGCTCAAGGAGGAGTAGGGGAGGGCAGGAAAGGGATGAGGGCGGTGATAACGAGGTGGAGGAGAAGGCGAGAGTCGAAGAGGGATGATCAGCACGAGGAGGAAAAAAGGCAAGATGAGGAGCGCAGGAGAAAAGAAACAGGTCGAGGGGTTGAGAAGGTTGAGGAGGTGCGGGGGATGTGAATGGAGGAAGAGGAGGATCAGGATGATGATGAGGAACATGAGATGAGAGGATGAGAAGAGGGAGGATCACGATGAGAAGGAGCAGGATGAAGAGGAACGCGAGGAGGGTTGGAATCAATTGGCTCCTCCGCCTGCGTTCGCTCCTCCTCACCACCCCCCACGCCCGTCCCACCGTCAGCCAGTGGTGTCCCCCCAGCGGGGTCGCGGGAAGCCCCCCTGCGAGGCCAGCGGCACAGATCCGGCACGTTCTGGCGGCAGTTCCGTCGCCAGGCGTGCCGCGGAGCTCACCTCTGGGTCGCACGTGCCCCGACGCCTCCTCTCGGGCTGGACGAGAGGGGGGGATTGGGAAAGGGGGGGTTACGAAATTTGCTGCATGCAGCTGGTTTCGGCCTCGCCGAGGGGCCCATTCCTCGATACGTAGCCGCCTCCGGCGCCGGGAGGCGCCGGGAACATCAGCTACGTGCGCTGATTCTCAAACCCCCCCTTTGCTATCCCCCCCTTTCGCCCGACCCGATCCTCACCATCCCACGCCCTCCTCCCCGTGCGCCCCCGCTGCTCGTCCCTCCTGCCGGTGGACAGCCTCCGCTGCCCCCACAGGGGCCCCTGGGAGGGGTGCCTCGGCGCGTGGGCGGCGCGTGGGCGCCCCGGGGCTAAGCTGAGGCCCGCCACGGCGCGACCTGCGCGGGGGCTGCGCGGCGGCAGCAGGGCGCCGGGGGTGCGCGGGGTACCCTCTCCAGTCCGTTCTCGGCCTGGGGGGGGGGCGTCGAAATTCGAGGCGTGCGGACGCTTTCGTCGCTTCTCGGCGGCTTCCCAGCCTCGGGGTGCCTTCCGTCCGCTGCGCCTCGCCGAGGGCGTTCCGGGGGTGCCTGGATTGTCCCGAACGGGCGCCGGTGAGCCGAGTTACGACCCGAAAGGCATGAGGGACGGGCATACGGTCAGGAATTTCGGCTCAGCGTGTCGCACCGCCGTTCCTGGCCCACCACGCTTCAGCGCGACACGCTATCCACTTTCAAGTCGTCAGGCTTCAACGTCCCGAGCCTTCCCGAGCCTCCCGCCCCGCCGAGCGGAACGCAACGCCATCTTTTTGCAGGGCATGCCGTGCCACTGGGGCCGCCGCAGCGCCACGTCACGCAAGCATGCGCGATGAGGATGCGCAAGGGCCTCGGACGCCCATTTCGAGGCTTTTCGAGCGGGGCGCGGCCAACGAAAGCGGCCAAGGAGGCAAGGATGCCAAGGGTACCATTGGGAAGGTTGATCCAGCCTTATTATGCGGGTTGACCGTAACTGTGCGGCCTCCTCGGCCTCATGGGGGGCGTGAGCTCACGGGCAGGCCTCCGCGGCGAGGCTCGCGCTGCGATGTTTTTTGGGGGAGGGCTGAAGTGCGCAAGGCATCGCAGGGCTGGGGGTTCGTCGCCTGCCTGCCGCGGCTTTCGCTTCCCCCTCCTTCGCCTCCAGGGCTCTACCCAAGCGCTGTTCTGCTCTGATGTCTGAGCGCTTTGTTTTCTTGTTTTGTTTGTCGATCTCAACGCGGATTGGTTTTCGATCTAAGCGCACGTTCTAAACGCTTTCACCTGCCCCTCTTTTGCCTCAGCGCCACGCCCTGGGGGTCCGATGGCTATGTTCTGGGTGGGCTGCTGGCTCTTTACAACAACGGGCGTCTGACATGCAGGCGGGGCTCGGCCTTTGTGGCATGCAAGGCCGCATCGTCCGTTACGGGGGAATCCTTGCGGTACTTTTTCCATTGCGTCTCACGTCCGCTGTAGTGTCTCTTCATAAGTGGAACCCTTACGGTAACGAACCTACGGGGAGAAGGTCTGGCCCCTCCCCCCCAAGCCAATGCGCCGTGCTCGCAGGCATGGTGTGGTGCTGACTTGCATCGGAGGGCCTTCAGAGACCTCCAGAGGCGGCCGTCGTCGTCGTCGTCGTCGTCGCCCTCGCCCTCGTCCCCGTCCCCGTCCTCGTCGCCCTCGTCGCCGTCGACGTCGTCGTGGTCGTTATCGTCGTCGTCGTCCTCATCCTCCTCGTCCTTGTCGTCGTTGTACTCGTCGTCGTCCTCGCACTCGTCCTCGTCCTCGTCGCCGTCATAATCGTCGTCGTCGTCGTGGTCGTCGTGGTCGTGGTCGTTTTCGTCGTCGACGTCGTGGTCGTTATCGCCGTCGTCGTCGTCGCCCTCGTCCTCCCCGTCCTCGTCGTCTGCGTCGTCGTTGTCGCTTCCGAGGGCCATCCAAGACCTATCATTATCCCTTGAGCCATGTAACGCGTGCACCAGTTGTAAACAGGTTGTGGCATCGCAGAAATACGCACTGTTCTATATGGAAATATCCTTGGAACGAGGCTGCTGTATTCCATATGCTGCTCGAACATTCAGCAGAGCCGCCACGTGACAAAGTCATCATTACTATGCTGTGAGTACGAGAGCGGTACAAATCACGATGTATGCAGCCGTCTTCCCTTTAGCCACCAACCAATGGAGTGTTCGGAAGCTCCTGTATGCCCCGTGTGTTCCAGGAGTGTTTGCCGCGGTCACGGAGGCGGCGAAGCTTGTCATGCCCGTGTGGTGCAACCCTTCATACCACAGGTAACGGAGAGAAGGGTGGGGACGGAGACGACCACGGAGCAAAGAAGACCACAGGCAACAAACACCAGCAGGACGTGAACGTGCCTCTCGCCAATTCAGTCCTGTCGACCAGCAAAGCCATATCGGACATAGAAGCGCTGGAGTGCACCAAGTACCACATATGGACGGGACGAGGCTGCGTCGCAGTTGTTCAGAACGCAGGCAAGGGCTACGACGAGGAAAGCAATAACCTCAAGAAGCTCGCCTGGAGCGGGCAGCCAGTCGATCACAAGACGAGGGGCACACCATACCTGGCCATCTTCGTGGCGGTGTTCGGCAAAGTGGCGATGCGGACAGTGACCGAGTTAATGTAAAGGGATCGAGGACAAGAAGGTGTCGGAGATGCCAGGGTTCTACAACGCCCACTTTTCGTCGGCCAGCATTTCCAACGACGCAGAGATGATTGGACACTTCTGCGTCAAGGCCCACAGGAATAACGACAATCAGGAGCATTTCCGCACGATGATATGGCACGTCAACAAATCTCACAAGTCTGCCTTCCCGATCGCGAGTTTCCTGACCGCGACGGTCGCCACCGAGAGAGGCACGAGGCTCCACACGGTCCTGCCACGCGAAGGCCATTCGGGAGGGTCATCAGCAAGTTTCTGGAGGACCACAGTTAGCCGCATGTCGTGATACGTTGTGGCAGCAAGTCTAGGAACGGTCACAATTAGCAGCAGTTCGCGATTCGATAAGTCTCCCGCTTGCCCTTCTGCACAGCGCCCATGTCGCAACGCTGATGGCACAAGGTTTTGGCCCCCGTCGTCCTGTTCCCGCTCCTCGCCACCCGCCTCCTTCTCTGCCCATATTTCTCCGCGGCTGGTGAACAACCTCAAGAGTTCCCTGCAGCCTCGAACTGTTTCTGGGTTCGAGGTTCCTTCAGTGCCCAAATCCCCAGATGCCCAAGAGGACGCGGCAAAGGGAGAGGTGGTCGTAGCGCGACGGGAAAAGGTTCCAACTCTCGCGTCCCCCGCGCCTGAGGGCCAGCCGCCCCTACAGGGGGTTCGGTGCCTCGGACGTGCGCTGGGGCGAGGGCCAGTCCAGTTGCAAGCTGCGCTTGGCTCGAATTATTTCGCTAATGTGTGTCGTCGGCTACGTAGGGTAAGCCTCTTGAGGGCACAACCTCGGGTAGAGTTCAAAGGTTTCGCAGCGCGTCTGTCAGGATGTGCTGCTGCCAGTTCCTCATTTGAATCTGGACCCCCTGGGCTGGAAGGGGAAAGCACAGGCCTCCGGAGACCTCCAGAGGCCTTCAAATATTACAGTCTTCGTCGCAAACGTTTACGTCCTCGTCCGTGTCCTGGTCCTCGTCTTCGTATTTGCCCTCTACGTCGTCCTCGTCGTCGTCTTCGTCGTCGTCTGGCGCCCGACCCCCCTTCCCGCGGGTCCGACCGCGTTACCGCTGCCCCTCCACGGGGTCTCGACCCCCCCCGTAACGGACGTTACGGGGGGGAGGGAAAAATGTCTTCCGGGCTCGAGATTCGGGCGTTCGCCCTCGTGTACTACCCCGCCATCTCCGCCGCCTCGAGCGGGGGCGGAGTTCGCCCTGCGCTGCCATCCAGGGCTACTGCAGATGTGGTCGGGGCCGGAGCAGATGTGCTCGGAGAGTCCCGCGGCATTGCCGATGCATCGGCGATGCGGCGCGATGGGGATCTTGAGTTTCCACACGCCGACGGCGTCGACGCATCGCCGATGAATCGGCGATGTGGCGCGATCCTCCGGCTCCATCTTTCCAGACCCTGCTTTGGAGGCTTCCAGGTCTGCGAGGGGAATGCGGCGGCGAAGGAGGAGGAGGACCATCGACAGGCTGCCACGTGGGTGTGTCGTTGATGAATTCTGATTTCGCCCTCGGCGAGACGTGTGTTGGCGGCGTTGTGTGCCATTGCTTGTGCGCCTTGTCCTGGTGGGCACCAGACCTGTAAGGAGGGAGGGGGGGAGTTCCAGTGCACTCGCAGCAGGTCGTTTGGGGATCGCTCTTCCCCCTCTGCCTTCCGCTCTCCTTCCCACCTCCTCCCCTCCTTTCGCCCTCCTCCCTCGTCCTCTTTCCTCTTCAATCCCCTCTCCTCCCTCCGCATCCTCGTTCTCCTCCTCCCTTTTCCTCGTCTGTCCCTGGGGGGTTATGAGGCCCCGACCTCCAACTTCTTGGAATCAGAAATGCCGTTGTTCTGTCACGCCTAGCGTGCGGGGGGCGTTTTCATGCGCGTGGGCCGCCCAAAATCTTCATAATGTGTCACGTTCGGCCTTCCGGTAGGGGTCGAGAGTGTCCCAGAGCCGTGTATTCAGCATATCGCAGTGTCAGATGTCTTGAGAGGGGGGGGGTGCGATGGAGAGGAGTTGGGCGCGAGAAGGGCCCCCCTCGACCGCGCCGTCCCAGCGCCGACAGGAGTTCGACAACTACGACGAGGACCGGAGCGGTTACATAGACGTGAAGGACACGCGTCATGTTGGCCGTGTGGGAGGAGGGCGACGAGGCGGGGTGCCTTGCGATCAGGGCGATGCAACTTTTTCGCCAGCGTTTTCGTTCAGTTTCGGGCCCCGGGGCCCTCCCAGACCGATCAGGCTAAAAAAATGCAGCAGGAAGGTAGGGTCTAGGGTTCGAGTCGTGCTTTCCCACGAAGTTGCGTTACATGGGATGTCAGAGTGGCACAGATGGGGGCTGGCTGGAATGGGACGCAGGCGAGGAGGAAGAGGCACGGAGGGGAGGGGGCGTTCTTGAAGAGCTCAGCCTTAGGGCTCTTGGACGTTCCAGAGAACTCACGAGGAGGAGGAGGAGGAAGAGGAGGAGGAGGAGGAGGAGGGGGAGTAGGAGGAAGACGACGACGACGACGATGGGGACGAAAAGGGCGAAGGGGAGGAAAGATTAGTGGGGGAGCGGAGGGGGAGGAAGAGGGGAAGAGGAGGAGGACCTGAGGAGGAGGCGGAGGAAGTGGAGGAGGAGGAGGAGGAGGAGGAGGAGGAGGAGGAGAACGGCACAACGAAGAGGTAGACCAGGAGCGTCAGCAGGCCCAGGGGGTCGGTGTATGTGCTCGCCTGGCCAAGCGAGGAGAGCGCAGGCACCGGACTTGGGCCCCGGAACAGCCTGGGCCGGGGCTGGTGCGCATGCGCTGCCCGTCGTCTGCCCCTGGCCCTCGCGGCTGAGGCTGGCAGCTGCCGCGGGGCTCTGCCCAGGCTGGGGGCGGAGGGCCGCGCCCGCGCGGCATCGCCGGTGGCGTCGGCGATCGGGACGTGGCTTACGGGAATCCCCAGGCGACACCCACAGGCCCCGACCACGCCCCGAGATGCGGGCGTGAGCAAGAGCTTTTTTTTGTGCTTGTTCGTTCAAGCCTCTAGGCCAGGAAGCGCGTTCTGCCCCCCCCCCCCCCCCCCTTCCCCCACCTCCTCCTCCTCCTCCTCCTCCTCCTCCTCCTCCTCCTCCTCCTCCTCCTCCTCCTCCTCCTCCTCCTCCTCCTCCTCCCCCTCCTCCTCCTCCCCCTCCTCCTCCTCCTCCTCCTCCTCCTCCTCCTCCTCTCCTCCTCCTCCCTCCTCCTCCTCCTCCTCCTCCTCCTCCTCCTCCTCCTCCTCCTCCTCCTCCTCCCCCCTTTAATAAAACGTAACCCCGTCCCCCCCCCCACGCAGTGCGCCTCTGGCACTGCCACTGTGATGCTCACAGGCTACCTGCGGCGGTTGCAGGCTACTTTCACGTTCGTTGTGGCCCCCGAGGGCCTTGCAGTGCCTTCAGCTTCCGGAGGTTTCGGGAGATCTCCTGAGGCCTCGGGGGACCTCCGTAGACTTTGAGAGAAGGTCGTCGTCGTAGTCGTCAACGTCGTCAACGTCGTCGTCGTCGTCGGCGTCGGCGTCGGCGGCGGCGGCGGCGGCGAGGGCCTCGATGGGCCTTCAGAAGTCTCCCGAAGTCTCCCGAGAACTCCGTCCGCCTCCGGAGACTTTCAGAGACCTTCAATCGGGGGTGGGTAGACCTCCTACCTTGACACGTCGATGAGTGAATTGGCCGTTTTCGGTTCGCGAGAGGGCGTCGCGGCCGTTCTTTCTGCGGGTCCAGGTCCGTCGGTTTCGGTCCCAGGCCGTTTTCACTAAAGGGAGGTTTACTAAAGGGAGGTTTGTCCGCCGCCGATTCAAAGGCGACCGTCGTCGGCGTCGTCGTCCTCGTCGTCGTCTTCGTCGTCATCTTCTTCGTCGTCGTCATCCTCTTCTTCGTCCTCGTCCTCGTCGTCGGACTCATCCTCGCCGTCGTCGTCGTCGTAGTCTTCATTTTCGTCGTGGTCGTGGTCGTCGTCGTCCTCCTCGTGCTCGTCCTCCCCGTTCTCGTCCTCGTCCTCGTTTTAGTCGTCGAGGGCGTCGAAGGGCCTCCAGACGCCACCAGAGGTTTATGGAGACCTTCGTAGACCTTCAGAAGCGGCCGTCGTCGTCGGCGTCGCCCTCGTTTTCGTCCTCATGTTCGTCGGACTCGTGTTCGTCCTCGTCCTCGTCGTCATCGTCGTCCTCGTTATCGTCCTCGTCGTCGTCTCGTCCCTGTCATCGTCCTCGTTCTCCTCTCCTCGCCGTCGTCCTGCCCTCGTCTTCGTCATCGTCGTCGTCGTCGCCGAGGGCCTCGAAGGGCCTCCAGACGCCTCCATAGGTCTCCAGAGACCGTCAGAGACCTTCAGAGGCGGCCGTCGTCGTCGTCGACTTGTCGTCGTTGTCCTCGTCCTCGTCGTCCTCGTCCTCGTCCTCGTCGTCATTGTCGTCGTCGTCCTCCTCCTCGTCCCCGTCCTTGTCCTCGTCCTTGTCGTCGTCGTCGTCGTCGTCGTCGTCGTCGTCGTCGTCGTTATCGTCGTCGTCATCGTCATTGTCGTCCAGCACTTGAGCGCCCCCGTCGCCCAGCAAACACCAGAACGGAGTAATGCTCGAAGGAGGGTGTTGGGGAAAAATCATTGCGGTGCACGACGGTGCACGTATGCACTGCGCAGTACACAGGCCATGTGGCGCACGCGGCTGCGAGGGTGCATATTGCGCTGCGCACCGTGGTGCTTGCTGTGATTCGCGAAGGCGCTCTGGTGTCGGAAGACGGGGGACGGGGCGTCAATTCATGCCCCCCCCCGGCACCCCCCCCCCATAACGCCCGTTATGGCCGCGAGTAAAGATGCTTTTTCGCAGCGTCGGAACTCCGGGTCTTTAGAGGGCCGCCCCCGGCCCGAGGAGCTGAAGGGCCTGTTGCAGAAGCTCGGCGAGGAGCTCAGCGATGACGAGCTCGACCAGGCTCTTTCACGCAGCTCGTCGTCGCCGCTGGTCGTCGTCAATTGTTGCCGTCCGTTGTCTGCCGACGCTGGTGGCGGCGTTGGCGTCGGCGTCGGCGGCGTTGGTCATCGCCGGCCATCGTTGTCTGTCGGCGTCGTCCGTCGTCGTCGTTTTCCGGCGCCGCCGCCGTCGTTGTTGTCGTCATCGTCTCGTCGAGTTCTTTTTCCTCGACGAGTCCGAGCTCCTCCCGTTTCCTTGTCACCCCTCCTCTTCCGCCTCCTCCTCCTCCTCCAATGTCCTCCTGCCTCGCATCCCATTCTTATCGCTCATCCCTTCTCCCTCCCCCTTCTCCTCCCTCAGCCCTCCTATTCTCACCCTCCCTCTCCCCCTATCAGCATCGCCATCCCTGCGGGAGGAGCGCGAGAGGAGCACAGACGAGAGGGGAGGAGGGGGCACCTGTTCAAGAGGCGCCGCGTGCTTCATGTTGGGGGGCGCCAGGGGTTCCCAGGGGTGCTGCTCATCGCCCCCACCTGCTACGTCCTCGGCCTCAGTGGTGCCCTCCCCGGGCCATCTTGGAAGCCTTGGCGAGCTCGGGAGGGCCCAGGCGCGGAGGCGTCGAGCCGCCGAGGGCCTGGGGAGCCTCGGGAGAAAGGGGCCCGCGCGCGCAGGGAAGCGTGGCGAGACGGCGGCGGCGGCGGCGGCGGCGGCGGCGACGACGACGACGACGACGACGACCGCGGCGACGACGACGACGACGACGACGA